CCTTATACTTTACTGGCTTACAAGTTTTGGTTCCAGAGAAGGGAGTACTTCTATTAGGAGACACATTAAACTTTTCACTGAACAAGTTATTTTGGACTCTGATGCCCTTAACAGATGGATAAAAAGGAACAACATGGACTAGAGAAATTGACTAGTGATTAAGAGTGCTAGCTGTTCTTCTAAGACCTGGGTTCAGTTCCCAGCACCCACGTGGTCGCTGAAAATCAGCAGTAACTCAAGTTCTAGAGACTCTGATGCCCATTTCTGGCTTCTGCAGGCAACGCACACATATAATAACAAATATACATGCAGGCCAAAAACCTACACACATAAAGAAATCTTAAAAAAGGAGGAGGAAAGCAAAAAGAAAGAGAGAGAGGAATGGATGGAGAGAAAGAAGGAAGGACGGACGGACAGAAAGAGAAGAAAAAAAGGTGTTAGAAGGGGTGACTGCCAAAGAGCAATTGGAGGTAGGGAAGATTATATCTGTAGTGTATGAGATTCTTGGTGCTACCATATGATTAGAGCCAATGAGTAACTACAACAACTCAATCTAGGCTGGATGGCAAAGGGCACAGACTCTTCAGGAATGAAAATATGGGGCACAACTCCAGTGAAAGAACTAAGACCTGCTGAGGTGCTTGCTGAGGGTGGAGGAAATACAGAATGGGTGTTTATAAAGTTATAAATCAATTTACAGAATAGTAGTTATAAATACCAGATGAGGCCACACAACCCACTGCAGAATCAAGTCATATGATTATTTCTTTCTTACTTTATCAAGAACATGTTTATGCACAAATACACATCTATTAAAACAGTATCTGTTTTCTTTTGTAATGTAATATTGATTGAGGTTAAGATCACCAGTTGATGTAAATGTACATTATTATATTTAAGTTATGAGAAGCTAAAAGACAAGCATTCTTCAAGGGACTTTGCCACCTACTCTAAAATATATAATGCATTTGTGGTTGTACGTGGAATAGTTGTAGCATATTAGACAGAATTATGTCCTGGTTGGTGTTTGCATTTGGAAACTAAGCACAACACAACGACTTGTGGCTGAGTGCCAAACTGACAAGAGTAGACTTTTGACAATGAGTCTTGGTTGTTAACTTGATACAAACTTGATAGAAAGAGGGGACCTCAAATGAGGAATTGCCTCCATCAGACTGGCCTGTGGGAATGTCTGTGGGGGAAATTTTCTTTATTAATGATAGATGTGGGAGGGCTCAGACTACTATGGGTAGTACCAACCCTTGGTAGGCTGTCCTGAGTTGTTTAAGAAGTAAAATGAACATGTCATGGAAAACAAGTAACCAAGATTCCTTGCCTCTGCTCCTGCTTGACTCCCTTCCTGTCCTGATTTCCCTCAATGATCAGGATGTGTAAGTCAAACACCCCCTTTTTTGTCCCAAGTTGCTTTAGGTCATGATGTTTATCACAGCAACAGAAACCAACTAGGACAGGCTGTACTAAGAGTACAATTAAAGTTCACATGACTTTTATTCATACTTTCTAATTACAGGACAAAATGATCAATGGCCTGCAAAGGTCACAAGTCTGTAAGTAGTGAAAACTGAATTCTCTAATTCAAGCAGGCATAGTCTAGAAACTTCATTAGCCAAAATTCTATTCTGTACAGTGTTCTGAACAGCAAATGTGCTTTCCAAATTTATTCCTTAACTTTTTAATGAATAGTACAAGGTAGAGATTGTCAACCTCCTTTCAGGTGTATAAGCAGTTGCCTTGGAACATTTACAGACTAGGACATCTTCCCAGTGATTTATACTGACATTTGTATCTTATCAAGAATTCAGTAATTCCTGGGGGAATTTCTGAGCTTTTACTGATTTATATTCTAACAAAAGGACCCAGTTTTAATTATTGCACTATAAATCCTTCACGGGTCTTAAAGCAAGCTTCACATTATCTTGGTTTTGTTATTACTTTTTTTTTTGGCTTGTTTTTTTTTCAAGACAGGGTTTCTCTATGTAGCCTTGGCTGCCCTGGCACTCACCCTGTACCATGCTGGTTTAGAACTCAGAGATCTACCTTTGCCTCCTGAGTGCTGGGATTAAAGGTGTGTGCCATCACCTCACAGCAATCTTGTTATTTTTAGCTCTTTAATAAGACTTTGCTTGTCAGTTTTAAGATCAGGAAGTCATTTTGCTTTAGTAAAATCAACAAGTTAGTAAATTTCTGAGTGAATATTAAATCTGCAAAAGCATTCTTAATCAGTTGAAATATAAGCACTTGCTTTGGAAATCTTACTTGTGACCTTCAAAAACTTATATGATATTCTCTGTAAGGTCTTACACAGTTTTTTAGTGTCATTGTTTGGTGTTTATTTATTATGAGTTTTCTTTCTTTTCTTCCTTTCAAACAGGTCTCATAAAGTCCAGGCCGGCCCTGAACTTCTGAACTTCCTGCCTCAACCTTCTAAGTGTTGAGATTATGGACATATGCAATATCTTATTGTATTCAATTTGCTGAAATTTATTTAGGATTTTGAACTTAATGTTTGTTAAGTTTCAATTTTCCTTTACTTTTGTCATCTGATGTAGGAGGGTCTTCTTTCTATGTGTTGCTTTCATTGGTTAATTAAAAAAGAAACTGCTTGGCCTGATAGGTCAGAACATAGGTGGGTGGAGCAGACTGAACAGAATGCTGGGAGAAGGAAAGAAGAGTCAGGCAGACAACATGATTCCTCTTCCCGAGATGGACGCTGGCTAGACTCATGCCAGTAAGCCACGACCTCGTGGTGGCATACAGATTATTAGATATGGGTTAGTCAATATGTGAGAGTTAGCCAATAAGAGGCTAGAACTAATGGGCCAGGCAGTGTTTAATTGAATACAGTTTCCGTGTAATTATTTTGGGTGTAAACTAGCCTGGGAGCTGGGATTCTGGCGGAAATACAGCCCACTGCTCCTTTTGCAACAGCCATCCTTTCTTATTTGCAACTCTTAAGTTTGTCACATAACAAGGCTCATGTTCTAGCCTGTAAAATGCTAAATTGCTTCTGTAAAATGAGAGGAGATATAAAATATAGACATCAAATAAAAATTCAAAAAAAACGTGCTTACAATGTACAAACGTCAAAGTACAGTATATTTCTCTTAAGCCTTATATTGCAGCTACATATTACCCTTCTAATAGACTAAAAACTTAATATTTCTTTTTTTTAAGATTTTTGTTTTTTTTAATATTTATTTATTATGTATACAATATTCTGTCTCTGTATGCCTACAGGCCAGAAAAGGGCACCAGATCCCATTACAGATGGTTGTGAGCCATCATGTGGTTGCTGGGAATTGAACTCAGGACCTTTGGAAGAGCAGGCAATGCTCTTAACCTCTGAAACATCTCTCCAGCCCAAAGCTTAATATTTCTTATAAACATAACTAACATAGTCTAAAATTAGGGACCAAATAAGGGACATTATATCTCTGCTTCAATACTGATGGATCTCACACACTGTCATGAGGTGGAGGTTCCCTCTGTGTGCTGTGATTACCACTGATGAATAAAGAAACTGCTTGGTCTGTTGATAGGGCAGAGCTTAGGTAGGTGGGGAGGTCAGGATTGAATGCTGGGAGAAAGAAGGATGGAGTCAGAGGGATGCCATGGATCTGCTGCCAGAGATAGACATGCTGAAACTTTGTTGGTAGGCCATAACCTTGTGGTGATGCACAGATTAACAAAAATGGGTTAAATTAAGATATAAGAGCTAGCCAGTAAGAAGCTAGAGCCAATGGGCCAAGTAGTGATTTAATTAATACAGTTTCTGTGTAATTATTTCAGTTGTGGGTGGCCGGGATGAACAAGTGGCCCCTCCTGCAACACTGTCGTCTCCTCTAAACAATGATCATGATGTGCTCACCCTTAAAGTCCTAACGCCAATACAATCTAAGATCACTTCAACAATACCGTTCTTTTCACAGCTTCAAGAAGTAACATGATCCCTAAACCACGCTGATAAAAGCTGTTCTCTCATCTCCAGATAAGCTGCTTATTTAGTATCCCCACCAACATTGTCTTTCTTCTGTGAAATCACAGATACAGTACACATGAACCCTACTTTATATAAATGCAACATGGTATAAATGAAAAACGTATTGCTGTTCTGCTTAGTCATGCGAGTGTAGTGTATTTATCACAGGTACAACTTCACCTTTCTCAGTTACATCATAAAAAAAACTGGATGGAGGGGGCACTGGAGAGATAGATGGCTTAGCAGTTTTGAGCATCTGATGCTCTAAAGAGGACCTAGTTTGGGTCTCAGAAACCACATAATGGCTTACAACCATCTGTAACTCTAGTTCCAGTGAGTCCAATATCCTCTTCTGACTTCTGAAGTCACATGGCATGCATGTGGTACACTGACATACATGTGGGGAAAACATTCATACATATAAAAACAAACAAATCTAAAAAATAAATAACAAAAACTTTCCAAATGGTAAAGTATCTATTTATTTCTCATCTCAGTGCAGAAACAAAAGAATAAATACTAAATTAATGTCTAGAAAACAGTTCTTTCTCATAGTATCTCTTTATACATGTCCTTTATTTTTAAGTTAGACATAGAGATACTTACCATTTTGAAAACACAAAACATCAAATTTTCTCTTATAAACTATGTAGTACAGGGCCTGGAGAGATGGCTCACTGGTTAAGAGCATATACTATTTTTCCAGAGGACCTAAGTTTGCATCTCAGAACCCACATTAACAGGCTGCCAACTGTGTGTAAGGTCATCTTAGATATTTGACTCCCTTTCTGGCCTCCCTGGGCACCTGCACATATGTGCACTAGCACCACACACACATAACTAAATCCTTAAAAAGTGTACTACAGAGCTTTACATTTTTATCTCTAGGCTATGCCATATAAATGAATCAAGGAAAGATGACTTCCCCTTTGAACATAAAACATCCATGTTTAAATGTTTTAAAACAAAAACAGTATCACATGATAAACAAACAACGTACCTTGCTGAGCGGTTTGCTCTTGCGTTCGAGTCACAGTGAGGTCTAAGGGGCCTTCCTGCTCATCCTGAATGCAGTGCTCTGCTTGGTTCATTTGGATACTTTTATATACGAGACTTGCTCCAATCGAACCATTTCTATTTTCTTGAATTTTACCACTTTTTGAAATGTACTCAATGGCAAACTGACGTATCATCTTTTTCATTAATTCCTGAGCAACTAAGGGAATGTTAGGATCACAGTTCTGAGGAAGATCTGGGAAAGAAATAAATGTAGATCATTAGAAGGCAAATAAAAAACAATCAAGGAGTTTCACAAGAAAATTACATTAGCAGTATCTATAAGCAATCCATAGTGGCCAGTGTGTCTTAGAAATGGCAACTATGTAGATGTTGTTTTTCATTTCTTCCAAAGGGATTTTTTAAAAAATTCATTTATTTCTACCCAAAACAAAAGTACAGATCAAAGAATTAGTCATCAAATCAGGAGTTACCTCCATAGTTAAATGTTCAAACATTCTATTAGATATTAAGATTAAGTTAGTATTCAAACACAAGCTTTATATATGAGCCAAGGGTAGGCCATATACAACACATATCAGTGACTAAGAAGACATCTGAACTGTTTGAACTCTTTACCAATGTTTGTTTTTAACACTCTGTCAAATGTGCTTCATATATTACTCTGAATGTCATCGATGATTTATTTTCTTTTACATAGAGAAATTATCACTATCAAGAACATCAAGCAAGTACAGTAGCACAGACAGCAGCAATCGAGATTTAAGATTTACTAATATCCTGTCACAATTGCTTTCTTTTCTTAAATTTGTGAAGTCACTGAAAACAAGGTATCTAGAACTAGGGTATTTCACTTATTAAAAAACTCACAACAAACTTCTACTATAAAAGGGTGGTACTAGTTATTAGTGGAGATCTTGATCCTACAAAACATGTTGGTCTGCTACAACCTTAATAGTTTCACACAGACACAGGCACACACACATGCTTACTACACAAATAGATACCCTTTTCTGGCATAACCATTAAAAAAAATCAAATGACTTTACTGTATCAAGTTTAGGATAATGGCAGGTTATCCATGAACACTGAGTAACAGCAAGACACTTTGGCCCAGTAGTAACCTTTTTTTTTTTTTAACAAACAGATCTGGCCTCATTTGATTCCCATTATTTGCTCTTCAGAGGTAGGAAGAATGAAAAGCTGTGAAAGATTATTGAACACACTTGGGAAGGCTTCCTGTTTCTTCTAAACAGACCTAGAGACTCTTACTTATGCAGACCAGGACTATATAGACAGACCTGTCTGGCCCAGAGCTGTATGAGTAATGCTCCCTAGCTTCATTGTTCAGTATCAACTAGTTAGAATACTTGTTAAAAAGACAAAAGAAAATCATCCCAACAGTATTTATCATAACAGGCTCATGGCTCTAAAATACAAGAAGATTTGAAAATATTAAAATTCACAGGGAGGAAGAAAACCATTCTTATCATGGCTACTATCATTTTTTGTAACAAAGTTCAACCTAAGTCAATATAAATCCAATTATGGACCAATAGACCATTATCAAATCATGAAGCATTCATTTAGACCTTGTGGAGACACTGCACAACAACATTCTGTTTATTTCAAAGCAAATACTTTTCAGTTATGAAGAATATTTGTGAAGGCACCATGGGATATAAGAGTAGCATTTTAGTCTTTGATTCTGCTTAGAATGTGGCAATGAACCAGAAGATCCAGCTATAGGCGGGAATCTTAGCAACCTTTGTGAACTGAGGCTAGCCTTATATATGTCTCCATGTTTGTGTCTCATTTATTAAAGTAGCAATGAAAGAATATGCTTTTATCATAAAAGTGCTTCATGATAAAATACTGCAGAAATTATGAGACTGTAGCTAAAATATGAAACTACACTGGTCATATAAGCAAATTAGTAAATGTGACCTGTTATCAGAGGTTATAGTTTGTAAGAATAAGAGAAGCAAACAGACATAGACTGAGTGGTATTTTATATAGAGTTAAAATGGGAAGTAAGTTTTCACACTTGAAATGATAATATATAAGCTCCAGAGGTTATATATGCTTCCTAATAAAAGCAAAATAGTTTCTTCATTGGACACAAAAATTACCAACACAATTAATTATTACCTTCATGAAAACTGGAAGACTTCTATAAAAATTCTTCACTTTTAAAATCTTAATTTTGCTTCACATTATCTGTTTTTAAGATGGTAGTTTCACAGTTAAGTATTTTTGTGTAAAATCCCTGCAGTCTATTGGTTAGTGTCACTCATCAATTCACAATGATTAAATTGACCACAGAAGGAACAAAAACAATTCAGTTCATTGAACAACTAGATCACATCTGAGTTTAAAGCTATGTTTAAATTCTGTTCTATCATTAAGTCACATTTGGTCCCCTTATGGTATTACTATGGCATATGTACAAGTGAAAAGGGATAAGAGACAAAGACATTTTTCAGCTGTTCAATAGTTAATATTACTCTGAAGATGCTTGTGGAACCATTATAACTCCAAAAAAAGTGTAACGTAAGATCTATATAAGCGAGTTTAAACTCAGGTTTATGGGCAAGTATCATCTGAAAGGATATGCAGGTTATATTGTTAATACCAAAGATGGGACGAGAAAAACCACTAACCCAAATCATCATGGCCAAATTAATTAAAGCAAGCTTTTTTATTTGTGTACATGGGCTGCGTCTCCTTAAGTAGGGGGGAGGGTTGAGGAGGTCAGCATTAGACGTGAAGAAGACAAGGCTTTTGTAGCTCAGAGATAGGGGTTTTTCAAATGGAGGGTTTAGTGGGCAAGACAGGAGGGGTTACAGAAGCAGAATATAAGTATAACAAGTTAGTGTTAATGACTTGAAACAAAGACATACTTGCAAGGTGGGCCTAACAAGGTAGTCATAGGTGGCTATATAACTTTTTGAAACAAAGATAGGATTGCAAAATGGTTAAGAATATCAAATCAAAGTGATATTACAACATCAAACAAACAAAACAAAACAAATCCCTCTGAAAATTAACCAGAGATTTGGTTCACCTTTTGGTTTCAGAGCATTTTAGCACCCTCAGCTGCAGGAGCTACAAACCTTTACATTCATCTATTCCCATACCCACTAACCAAGCACTGGGAAAGAATGAGTTTTATGGTTCTAGACATTGAAGGAAACCTCTATTATTAACGTGTATCGAAGCAGAAGTATCAGTGGGTAAACAAAGAAAAGAGTATTAACATAGAGGAAAATAGTGCAGAGGAGTTACTAAACAAGTCTGGCAATGGGGATCATCTGAGGCCCACACTGTCACACTGCTGATGTGGGATTCCCCTCTGTATGCTGGGATTACCATTAATGAATAAAGTAACTGCTTTGGACCTATAGCAGGGCAGTAATTTAGCTAGGCAGGAAAAACTAAACTGAATGCTGGGAGGAAGTGGGCAGAGTCAGAGAGAAGCCTTTTGCCCCACTGAAGACAGATGCCAGAACATTAGCCGGCAAGCTACACAGATTAATGAAGATGGGTTAAATTAATATGTAAGAGTTAGCTAATAAAGAAGGTGTGGCACATATACACTTTAGAGTTCTACTCAGCGGTAAAAAACAATGACATCTTGAATTTTGCATGCAAATGGATGGAAATAGAAAACACTTTACTGAGTGAGGTAACCCAGACCCAAAAAGAGGAATATGGTATGTACTCACTCACAGGTGGATTCCAGCCATAAATAAAGAATATTGAGCCTATAATTTGTGATCCTAGAGAAGCTAAATAAAAAGGTGAACCTAAAGAAAAACATAGTTATCCTCCTGGATATTGGGAGTTGACAAAATTGCGAGGCTGGCTTTGGGAGCACGGGGGTGGGGGTGAGGTGGGGATACGGGGAAATGGGGGGAGAGAAGGGAGAAGGGGAGGATGGGGAAAGCTTGAGGGAATGGGATGGTTGGGATGAAGGAGGGGTGGATGTGGGAGCAGGGAAGTATATATCTTAATTAAGAAAGCCATTTTAGGGTTGGCAAGAGACCTGACTCTAGAGGGGTTCCCAGGTGTCCAAGGAGATGTCCCCAGCTTGTTCCTTGAGCAGCAGAGGAAAGGGTACCTGACCTGGCCTTGTCCTATAGCCACACTGATGAATATCTTGCATATTACCATAGAACCTTCATCTGGTGATGGATGGAGATAGAGACAGAGACCCACATTGGAGACTGAGCTCCCAATGTCCTAATGAGGAGCAGAAGGAGGGAGAACATGAGCAAGGAAGAAAGGACCGTGAGGGGTGCATCCACCCACTAAGACGGTGGGACAGATCTAATGGGAGATCACCAAGGCCAGTTGGAATGGGACTGATGGAGCATGAGATCAAACCGGACTCTCTGAATGTGGCTGATGGTGGAGGTTGACTGAGAAGCCAAGGACAATGGCGCTGGGCTTTGATTCTACTGCATGCACTGGCTTTTTGGGAGCCTTGTCTGTTTGGATGCTCACCTTCCTGGACCTGGGGGGAACAGGGAGGTCCTTGGATTTCCCATAGGGTAGGGAACCCTGACTGTTCTTTGGCCTGAAGAAGGAGAGGGACGAGGAGTGGGGGAGGGGAAGGGAGGGAAGTGGGAGGAGGTGGAAATTAAAAAAAAAAAGAAGCTAGAGCTAACAGGCCAAGCAGTGTTTTAAATAATATAGTTTCTGTGTGATTATTTTGGCCTGAGCAGCCAGGAATCAACAAGCGGCCTCCTTCAACACACTGCATTATTTAAAAAACTCTCATTAAGACTGCATGGACTGCCATTTTCTGAAGAGAAATGAAGGAGTGGATGACGAGATTGGTGAAAGGGACTGGGAGAAGGGGAGGAAGAGGAAATGGTGGCTGGGATTAAAAAATAAATAAAAAATGATAGATGATAGACAGACAGACAGAAAGACAGACAGATAAAGGGAAAAATATAGTAAGAGTCAGAGGGTTAAGGGGTTGGCTGTGAGGCTGTCTATCCTAGGAATGAACTGCGCTCATAAAGTTTCATAAGCATGACTATCTAAACATGAGCTAACAAGGACAGCATAAGACATGTTAAAACAGACAGGGGAAAGACCACAAGGCCTCAACCTACACAAAGAATTATAGGTAACTAAGGACTGCTGAGAGTGGGAGAAATAGTCTTCACAGGGAAAGAACACACCAATTAGTTAAGCAATACTAAATGATCAGCTCTGAAAACA